GCGAAGAGGCGGAGCAGCTGTGGTACGTGCGGACGATTAATGACGGCATCAGGCTGCCGTTTGACTTTCAGATGCCCGGAGAGCTGGGGCCCCTCGAGGACCTGTAGTGAGGGACATGGGGATGACCATTTGCTAATTGCTCTCTTGATTCTCCCTTTTGAATTTGTTTCACAACCAACCCAATTTGGGTATTTTTACTTTAGAAAAAAGCACTAAAACGGTATTTTGTTGTTGTTGTTGTTGTTCAATCATCCTCGGTTGTGCTTGCAAGTAACTTTGCTAACACTTTTCAAAAGATTTCAAATCAGTGACTTTATTTTACAAATAAATTAATAGATTACAAAGTAGCGTTCAGTGCAAAGGAAAGCAGGAGAATGATTTTACAAAAATGTTTCTTGTTATGAAAAAAGGCAGGTAAGGCAGTTTTACTGTGGGTGCTTAGCCTGAAGGTGCCGTTTGAGAACATGTTTCCATTTGAACGTTTGTTGACAAATAGTGCATTGAAATGGTCTGAAATCACTGTGAACTTTTTGATGCGATTCTAACTCTGTTTTTGTTTTCACAGATTTGGAACAAATTGTGCATTTGTACGGTCGGACGTCACTGTGCACAGCTTGGTGTGTTTTGAGATGACTAATTTTTGTGAATAATTTAGAGCACGTTGTGCATTTGTGCTCTCGAATGCCAGTGTGCACCAGTTGGTGTGTTTTGAGATCGTCTTTTCTTTTAAATAATCTGGAGCAAGTTGTGCATTTGTGCTCTCGAATGCCAGTGTGCACCACTTGGTGTCGTTTGAGATCATTTGTCTGTGTAAATGCTTTGGAGCACATTGTGCATTTGTACGGTCGATCGCCAGTGTGCACTTGTTGGTGTATCTTGAGTTTAGATCGACGATCAAAACTTTTGTTGCACTGTTGACACTTGTGGTTTTTAGTTTTTCTTTGACGACGATTTGGCTGTTGTTCACCTGATGAACTGCTCGAGTTTCCATTAACCGTTGCTTCAGTTTGCCGAGGTTCTGCAAAAAGGAAAATTGTTACACAAAGGAATAAATAAACACACACCCACTGCTCACTCACCACTGACTGCTTCATAATCCTCATCATCAATTTCAGTGGCATTAGAGTCATTCTCTGATTCTTCATTTCCACTCAATGCCTCATTCACTTCATTGACATTTTCAGCAGTTTCAGCAAAATCTTTTTTCATAATAAAGTGAAACTCATAGTCGAACATATCAATTGACGTTTCATCCTGTTTTTCAGTTTTGATTTCAGGTTCTGTTGATTCAAAAAAATTTATTAGTAAAGTTAATACTATTTCTTATCATTTACCATTTCCTGCAGATTGATCGCCATTTTCCAAAACATTGTAATCAGTCTCCGAATCATTTTCTTCCTTCACCACAATTCCCTCATTTTCTTCTTCATCATTATTTTCACAATCAAATTCGTCGTACATGTCATCGTCAGATTCAAAGAGCTGCTCAGTGCCGGACATTTTCCTGGGTAGGTGGCTAAACACGCAAAAAAACAATCGAACGAAATAAAAGTAAACTTCAGCAGCTGAAGACAAAGTGGACAATGTAAAGGGCTCAAATCAAAACAAATGCCACTAAACAAGCTACGTGCCTGCTGCTCACTCGTCCCTAGGGCCCTAAGGAATCAGCCGAACCGGTCTATCTTCGCCCACGATTGTTTTGCGATTGTCCCAGTATCGATGGTTTTTAAAAGACTGAATGATGGCATCAATGCACCGCTTGATTGATTACTCTTCCCAGAGATCTGGGCGCTATTTAGAAACGCAGAGGAGAAGGTGACGCCCAGCTCCAATTGATTTGGGGCTGTCCTAACTTTCTTGTCGAGAATGCCTTTTGTTTTTACTGCAATTAAAAACTGTATTTTTAATACTTTTAAAAAGAATTGAAAAACGAAATGTAACATCGTCAAAATAGCGCCACTAGTGAGAACGTGTACTTGCGACAATGAACTTTTAGAAGTGGAGTTTTGCTTGTAATAACTTGTTTTTATGTTCTGCACTAAAGTCCGAACATGTGCATTCAACTTAAGGCTAAAAGGTGGCAAAGTATATGAGTTCGTCACCTGCATTCAGTACAGAGCCACCGTTCGGACAGGCGATGTAAGCCTTGCCGGCGACGTTCGCAAAGCAGATGACCACCTCGATGATCATCGGCCGGAAAATCAGGCGGATGCTCTCTTCGGGAATGAAATNGTGTAAGCCTTGCCGGCGACGTTTGCAAAGCAGATGACCACCGTGATGATCATCGGCCGGAAAATCAGGCGGATGCTCTCTTCGGGAATGAAATGGTACTTTCGAGCATTTTTGCCGGTAGAAACCGCCTCCAAGAACTGCTTCACGGGGTAAGACTTATCGTCCGAGGGCGTGACACCAGCGTCCATCAGCCGCCCGTCCAGGTTCACCTCCCGGTAGAGGCGGTCGACGAGGGCAAAGTACGCCTCAGGGGGAAAGTTGATGCCAAAGGCTGGGGAGGGGGAAAGAGGAGAAGAGGAAAAGGAAGATGAAAAATAAGTGAAAAGGGGGAAGTAAGTAAGTACCGTTGCCGTGTTTTTTCCAAGCGTAAAACAGAAGGTCTGGTTCGATATTGCTGCCATCGGCCGCTGTTTGCCGCCCCAGGCTGGCCGGGTGCTCCTGCATAAACGCCCTCGCCCACTGGTCGCCGTACTGGGCCAGCAGCCGCTCGTGCACCTGAGAAGGGGAGGAGAAAATAAATGAAAGAAAGAGAGAGAAAGAGAAAGAGAGAAAGTGGCCCCCACTACCTCTTTCTTGAGCAGGTGCCAGCGCGGCTCCGGATTGACATGGGCCGGGGCAAAGCGGTCTCCCTCGTGCAGCGCCAGAAAGTGCACCAGCCAGCGAGTGGTGGCCGCCACCGCCGTCTCGTTGACGTACGACTGAATGTCGCCGGCGGCGGTGTTCGGCCGCCAGACGCCCGCCGCCTGCTTCCCCGCCACCCACGTCCGGTAGTGCGCGAGGCCCTTCGTCCAGGTGAGGTGCAGCCACATGGGCGTGGTCGCCAGGTGGCGCTCCACCGCCGGACAGCGGGCCGCCAGGGCGCAGCGGGCCGTCGGCTTGAAAGGCTCCGCCTCCCCGGGGCCGTCCACCCAGAAGTGCTTCGGCCGGCAGAAGCAGCCATAGGTGCGGTAACTGCCCCGCTGCAAGCCCCCGCTTTCCAGGTAGGAGGTGCAGGTGGTGGAGAAGCAGCCGTTTCCGTTTTCGCTGCCCTGCTGAAAGGCCGCCTTTGCGGTGTCGCAGTTGTCCACCCACTCGGCGTTATCGCCGCACCGCGGTCCTCGTCGTCCTGGTCGTGGTGGTGGTCCTTGAATTTGAGGGCGTGGTGGGCGTGGCTGGCCAGAGTGAGAAGGAGGAGGAGGTGTGATCCGTTGAAATTGGTTGTTCAGGACGACTGGTTTGGGTGATGGTGGTCGGGGTGTGCGATTTCGCCTATGAGTCCTTGCTTCTTGCCAACCTTCGTTATCATCTTCCTGCTGCTTCTGGTCAGATCGAGAAGAGATGATCAAGTGGTGGTGATAGTGATTGTTACGAGAGCGGTGGTGAGGATGGTGGCGATGCAAAGCAGTATGGTGGGAATGATGACGACGGTGCTGCTCTGCCGAGGACGTGTTGAGGATGATGCAGCAGAGACAGAGGAGAAGGTAGGCAGAGAGGAGGACAGAGAGAAGGTGGAACAGAGGGGCACAATGATTCATCGCTGGGGGGAGGAGTGTTTTGGTGGATGATGACAGAGTAGGTCAACACTGGTGACACTGATTGGAAAGTTGTTTTGAGAGGCAGAGAACTGATAGATTGGATTTGATTCAACACTACGACTAGAAAATAACTGACTCACTAGCAGTGCTAATACAGCACTCGAAATAGAAGGGGAGAACAATGATTGCTAAAAGGTTCCAAAAATTCACAAAAGTTCTAAAAGATAACAAACTGCTGACTATGAGTTAGTCTTGGTACTCCGAAAAGAAAAGATCACATCGCACTAGCGCACATTTTGATGATGTTCATCGAACAGAACGTGCGAGTTTTGCCACAAGCTTCTCACCAGCAACAGGTGTCGGCAGTGTTTGCAAGTAGCTTTGCATAAAGTCCAAAAAGATTTCAAATCAGTCATTTTATTTTACAAATAGCTTGATAGATTACAAATAGTGTTCCGTAGAAAAAAAACAAAAAAATATTTTTTACAAAAAATGTTTATGCTATGAAAGGAGGCAGGTAAGGTAGTTTTACTGAGGATGCTTGGCTTGAAGGTGCCGTTTGAGAGATCGTTTCCATTTAAACGTTTGTTGACAAATGGTGCATTGAAATGATCTGGAGTCAGTGTGCACCAGTTGGTGTGTTTTGAGATGACCAAGTTGTGTGAATGATTTGGAGCATGTTGGGCANTATTTTACAAATAGCTTGATAGATTACAAATAGTGTTCCGTAGAAAAAAAACAAAAAAATATTTTTTACAAAAAATGTTTATGCTATGAAAGGAGGCAGGTAAGGTAGTTTTACTGAGGATGCTTGGCTTGAAGGTGCCGTTTGAGAGATCGTTTCCATTTAAACGTTTGTTGACAAATGGTGCATTGAAATGATCTGGAGTCAGTGTGCACCAGTTGGTGTGCTTTTAGATCGATTTTGATTTTGAATGTTTTGGAGCATATTGTGCATTTGTAAGGTCGGACGTCAGTGTGAATCCGTTGGTGTGTTTTAAGATTTATTTTACTTTTGAATGTCTTGGAGCATGTAGAGCATTTGATCGGTCGGAGGTCAGTGTGCACCAGGTGGTGTGCTTTGAGATTACCAAGTTGTGTGAATGATTTGAAGCACACTGTGCATTTGTGCGCTCGAATGCCAGTGTGCACCAGTTGGTGTCGTTTGAGATCACCTGTCTCTGTAAATAATTTGGAGCACACTGTGCATTTGAACGGTCGATCGCCAGTGTGCACCCGGTGATGTCGTTGGAGTTTGGATAGACATTCAAAACTTTTGTTGCACTGCTGACACCTGTGGCTTTTAGTTTTTCTTTGACGACGATATAGCTGTTGTTCACTTGATGAACTGCTCGAGCTTCCATTGACCGCTGCTTCAGTTTGCCGAGGTTCTGCAAAATAAAAAAGTGTTACACAAAATAATAAATAAACCCACCCTCACCACCCTGCCCACTCACCACTGACTGCTTCATAATCCTACCGGGGTATTACCCCTGTAGGCAACCCCCTTGGAGGAGCCAACCGGAC